GGATTTAGCAGGGACTGCTGTGTGGCATCTGAGGAAGCATCCTCTGGGTCAGTGGGAAATATCTCAACTGTGTTGGTGCTAGCCAGGATTTGGGGTCATGGGCTTGGGGAACAACAGGCTCCCAAATGCTGCATTCCCCTTCTTGTTCCCGCCTGGGCTGTCCCACAGCACCCAGGGCTGGCACTTTCCTTCTGCTAGTACCACTGCGGGGAGGAATTTGCTCCTAAATTTTGCTCATTAACTGTGAAATCTAGTTGTGTGAATTCACTTCCCAACGCAAGAAATGAGCCTACTTGGCCACAGAGCTGCCTGCCCTGTGACCATGCCTTCGGCTCTATTGCGGGAATTATTCCTCATCCTGCATCCGTGGGATGCTCGAATCCAACGCCCCATCTAGTGGCACAGGAGCCGACTGCCTTCTGCTCTGCAGGGCCTCTTCCACCACCTGCCTCGCGCTCAAACTCAGCCAGAAATCTCATGATATTGGTGTTTCCCCTTGAAAGTCCGGTGTTTGCCAAAGAATAGGTTGCAAAACCAAAAAGCAGAAAGGGTGATTGATCCATGGGAAGGCTCAAACAGCAAAGGGAAAAATCAAAAGCATTATGGGGGTGGTTTTAGCACAGATTTTGAGGAGTCCTGCCAAGGCTCTGGAGAGGTTTGGTAACAGCTTTGCCACCATGGAGGGGTTTACAGCATCCTGCAAGTCAGTGCCAGCTGGGCTGTGAGCAGTTGCTGCCCTGAGTCAGGGCATCCATCCTGCTGTTAGGAAGATTTGAAGCTGATAGGTGGAGGGTCGTGCTACCAGGCTCTGCTCCCTGTGCCCAGCCTCGCTGGGGCTGGGGTCCACATCTCACCTCTCCTGCCCTGAATTCCTTATTTGCCCTCCTGCAAAAGGTAGGGAAAAAAGCTGCTGCTCAGCCACCAACAGCTTTCAAAAACTGAGCTGAAAGTTGCAAAATCTCAGGATTAGTGTAACAACTTGACTTCAGAAAGTAGCTGCTCTCAGGTCTCAAGTGCCCTGGTTTATTCAGTTTAGTAGAATTATGTTTTCCAGGCTATTATGAGCATGTAAAAGGAGCGAGAAGCTAACTCTGGATGCGGGTGTGTTAGGAGGACTCCAGGTCCAATGGTCTCAGAGAAAGCCGAGCTTTTACTGCCTGAGCTGGCATCCTGGTCAAAGTCCATTAGACTTTATGGTTAAATACATGACAGAGGAACAGCTGGCAGCCAGCAATGCTGGTGTGAGCCCTGGCTGGAAACCACCAAGCAGTGAGCGACCACACTTACCTCCAGAGTACATGTCAAATGCTTCAGATTTCAGGAGCTGCCCACTTGTTCCTGAAGGGTTAAAATTCAAAACAGAGCACAGTGAGTTTGCACTGGGGAGGCTCTAGGCTTTGCTAAGTCACCAGCTTCAAGTTCCTGCTGCAAAATGCTTTGCTCTTCCTGCACTGGGTCGTACTTTCTGCTGTGGTGGATTTCATGAAGCCATCTTGCACAACCCAGATGGGCTCGTGTCCATCTCCCTGGCAGTGCTTGCAACCATAATTGTGGCTGTGAGCCCCACCTAACACCAGGCTGACGTGCTTTGGGATCAGCCCTGGTGCCTGGGATGGGGCACCCTCTTGAGGGAGAAAGGGAGGCCGGCTGTGGGGAGAAGGGGGTTAGTGCCCGCCAGACTCACCATTCACCAGCACGATGTTCAGGCCTCTGCCAATGTTGTTTCTCACGCTGCTCATGAGACTGGAAAGGAAAGCAGAGAGGGCCAGTGAATGCAGGGATGCCCTGCAGATGCTGGTGCCGGTTAAACTGGGCAAAGTGGCTGCAGATGTCAAAATATTCCCAGATGTGGTAGCAAAGAAAACTATTTCCATACTTTTTTTAGCCAGAAACGCACTGTGATGGCCATTGATGTGCTCAGCAGAGGCCAAACTTGCCCTATTTTAATCCAGACCAGCCACACCCCGTCCCCACCATGTGCTGCTTACATCACGTCATCAAAGCAGATGGAGGGTCCCACCACATTTGCAGCGCCGCTGATGATCTTGAAGGCAAAATGGTTCTGGGGGCAGCTCTTCTGGATTCCACACTTGTGCTGGGGCAGCTCCTTGCCTGTGAGGGAGGAGCGGAGCTGCGAGCCGTGACATTGGTCCCAGGGAGGGACACTGACCCTGTCCCTGAGGGGCTGAGCAGGGCTGGCGCTGGGGCCCAGTGGACCACTAAGGAGGCGACTGCTGGACCAGCTTCTTGCGTGAAGAAGGCTTGTCCTGGGCCTGGGACCAACTTCTTGTTTGAGGTTTATGGTGCTGAAGCCTGGGGTGGGATGAACTGGCTGGGGTGCCGGGTGTGAGCAGTGGGACAGTACGGCTGATGCCGTTGGGATCACAGAGGGGTGTGTGCCAGGGACTGTTCAGAGCTGGCACTGGCTCAAGCCCAGCCGCTTAGGGCTTTTCTGCCCGGAGCTCCCCTGTTCTTGGCCAGGGTGGGGACCTGTGCCCTGCTGCTCGCCTGGGGACAGTGACCTGCTTTCTGTGGCCCAGGGGTGTTTCTGCTGCAGCAGGGGGATCATGCAAAGGTTTGTGTGCTTGCAGGGCCCACCAAGGACACTGCTTATGGGTGATTCTCTTTGAGAGGGTGGGGATTTTGCTTTGAGAAAGGGGCTCTTGAGGGCACCTATTGTGCTTCTACCATCACCCTGATGAGGTTGGGAGCGGTACTCACTGCTGGTCTTGTCTGTGGAACCTGTGAGTGCCAAGGAGGACAGTTAGACACCCTGGAGAGCTGCTGGCCCTTCCCCAAGCCAGGAGCAGCTGTTTAGGCACCATGTCTCCAAAATTGCTCTCCACGGCTGCAAGCACCCCTGGAACCACCCACCATGGTGCAGCTTCCCACTGTGCTGTTCCTCCCTGCCCAGTCAGAGCTAGTGGCTACAGACTTGGCGCAACAACGA